ATAAGGAAAATTTATGTTTGGGTTGTCGTCATCCCAATCCTCCAATTCATTTTCATTAGACCCCCCTGCCCCGGCCATGCATCCTGCTTGTATTGCTGCCATGATTCTTCATGATGTTTCCAATCTAGTTTCTAACTCCCTTATCTTCTGGTGGCATTGTTTATGATGAGAACCAGGTCTATTTTCTCATCTGCCCACACTGCACTTTAGGTATCCAATGCTTTCCATTTCCACAATGCCATTTCTTTATTTGTCACCTCCTTTTGGTTTTTTAAGTCTTCCACCTGTTTTTTTCTAATATTGTAATTTCCACTGCATCCTTTAAAGGTGTTCCTTACGATGCTTTTACTTATGCCTCCAAGATAGCTGCTTTTTGCTGCAGCATCTGTGACTCCCTCTTTTGCTGTCTTTTAACAGCTATACCTTTTGTTGGAGCCCTTTAGTTAAAGCTTTGCATGTCAAAAGCATCCCTTTTAAGTGATTTATTTCTTTGTCTGTTTATTCACCTAGGGTTTATGCCCAGCGGTGATCTGAGACCACTGGCCACAAAATTGTACAAACGCGTCTGGTCCACAGAACACATCCTTATTCCAAAAACCCAGAGCCATTTTACTCATCACCAATTTCTCTAGTTCCAACAGCTCTTTTATTACTGAGCCTGCCATATCAAGTCAATCCAAAAAGGGGGGGGGGAGGGGGGGGCTCCTGAATTCCAACTTAATCTGAGCTCTCTTCCTTGCAAAAACAGTTTGGCAAATTTAAGTGAATAAGCCTCCTAGCCACAGAATAGATTTTGAAATCCTCAACAGCTCTCAATCCAAACAGTTTTCAAGTCCAGTGTTCAACAAAATGTCCAAGTGCTATGCACAACAAAATCTTTCAGTCCAAGCAAATTCAGTAGGCCCACCCAGGGACATCAAAATCTGTTACCAGACTTAATGTTAGACTTTAGGTAGTGGCACTGAATTCATAAATGCTTGAACCAGAATAGTCCATTCTCTGAAGAGAGCATTTATTGAGCACAGTAATTTGCAACTTCAAGCAAATGACAAAGAACAACAGAAAAACTTTGCCAAAGCTAAGACACTGCCCAGTAAGACACAGCAACAGCACACACAACTTAGGGTAACTTAAAATACCACATAATAAACCAAAAAGACAACAGAAAGCCTTGCATAGGTGTGGCAGGTTCATGCCCCAGGGGTGCCTATTACAGCCCTGCCTTAATTACTTGCCCTCCATGCCTTGTTCTTACTAGAGGTTAAATGAGGAAGGCTGCCCACAGACCTTAGAGTTAGTGTTAGTCCCATTGCAGTACCACTGGGTCCCTCCTGGACTCTCAGCTGCCTTGATTTGACCCTTAAGCTCAATAAACTGTCTCAGCTGGCCTGTGCCCCTGCAGGGCCCCTGTAGCTTCAAGGTCTACATGTGTATCTGTGCCCCTGCAAGGCACTGGTAGCTTTAAGTGTTCAATGCCTGACTTTGTTTCCCCCCTACATCATGCCCCAAGCCTCACAGGTGGTCTCTCTCTTTGATATCAAATATTTGTACACTCAGCCCCCTTAGACCCCCCTGGTCCCTCATGTAGTCTCCCTCTGAGCTCTTGGACCCCTGGTCCCACACGCAGCCCCTCCTCTGGGCTCTCAGACCATCTAGTCCAGCTTAGCCCACTCGAGCTTGCAGACCCTCTGATCTGGGTCTCAGCGTTTTCCTCAGCTGCTGGGCACCTGATGGGGCCCCAGTCTAAGGGCTCCTGAATTAACAGTTCTCTAAATAGGCCTTGCACTTCAGGGCTCAAGGCTAAACTCTATCAGTGTACCTTAAATAAACAAGAAGCATCTCAGACCAGTAGGGGTTTAACATAAACAAAGGCCACTTGGCTGTAAAACCTAATCTTTCTTAGCTCAGGGGACTTGCCTTTGTTCCCAGGCCTGCAGAGTTGTTTAGAGAAATCTAGGTCCCTTCAGAAGCCCAGCTGCTCTGCAGCAGGAACACCTCACTTCGTGATGGTCAGGGAGAGAGAGACGAACTGACTCATGCAGGATCTGGGCTTAGCTCAAGCCTGAGCCCTCTTCTGGTCAGGTGAGTGCCTCATTAGCTCCCCCCCTGCCACTAGCAAGCAGCCTCTTAGGCTGCTTGTGCCCTTAAAAGAGCAAGCACATACCAGTCCCCTGCTACAATAGGTCTGATGTAATCCCTAGGGCAGAGGCTTTCTTTGCAGCCAGGGATTCAAGAAATCCTTCTGGGGGTGAGGTCTGTAGGTCTTCTGAGGTGATGAGGAGGAGATCCAACAGGCTTCATCTCTGCCTGAGTTTTTATAAGTGAATTTGCACCTCCTTCCCCACCTTGGGTGCCTTGACTATAGCATGCTTCGGATGTCCCTCACCTATGGCATACCCCACACCAGTCTCTGGAACAGAGACACTGAATACATGTCTCTTGCCTCTTACAGATTCTACCTTGAAATGTAAATGTAGTTCCTGCTTTCTTTGGTCACACCAGCCCAGGCAGTGTGGGGCCATCCCCTGCTACCATGGGTCTGTTACATAGCTTCAGCCCACATTTGTGATGACTGTGCCAGGTCTTTGTAAACAGACTCATGCCCAGGCAGAGCAAGGCATCCTGGATGCTGCTGCTGTCCCCAAGGCCAGGGCCCTGGAGCCTCTGGGTGGCTGAGATCCTAGAATATAGAGGGGCCAGGACCTACCGTTAATACTAATGCCAGAGCAACGGTGTCTTTGCAGAGGGGCCGAGCCCCCACTGCCACTACAGAACCACAGAGCAGGAGGGTACAAGCGTCATGGACTCAGTGATTCAGGGTAGTATTGGGCGCCTCAGTCTCTTCCTGCTTGGGAGGAGACCTCAGGGCAGCAGGCAGGTGTGGGCATGGACCAGCCTGGCACCCTGGTATGGGCTGAAGGGTGCAGGGACCTGGGCTTGCACTTGAATCTGAATTTATGTTCTTGCTGGTTTTAAGGTGTGGGGCAAGAACCCCCAAACAGATAAGCTTTAACTAATGGCCTGAAGTCCAAGTGCAGGGCCCAGCACCCAGAAGTTTGCCAGCCCCAGAGTGCTGCTGAGCCCCAGGAGCCAGGGAGTGGGACAGCTGGGAGGGGTGGCAGCACCCGTTGGTGGCTCCCTGTGGGGGCTGCGCTGCCAGCTCCACCCCAGAAACAGCTACATCTGGGTAGCTGGAGGTGGAATCAGGCAGGCGCTTTCTTTGCACACCTGCCCCTGGGAGCTGTTAGCTTATCACAACCCCCAGACGGGCCCTGCCCACCCCCACCCTCACCCTCCAGGACTCTGCAAAGCGGTTGTTGTGCCTTCCCTGTGCCCTTCAGCCCTGAGAGCCAACAGCCTCTGTGGCAGGACTCTTGGGTTCTCTCCCTGCTCTGGAAGGGGAGAGCAGGCGGGGGACGACCAGGACAACTGGGTCCTCTCCAGTGATGGGAGGGAAGGGGGAGCTGAGAGTAGGAAATCCAGACGCCAGGTTTCTCTCCCAGTTCTGAGAAAGGAAGTGGGGTCTATGGGGCAAGAGCAGGCACAGGCTAGGAGCCTGGACATATGGGTTCTCTTCAGCTCTGAGTAGGGAGGGCAGGGGAGCAGCGATGCAAGCTCAGGGGGAGCTGGAAGCCCAGATTCCTGGTTCTCTTCAGCTCGGTGAGGGTAGTGGAAGGGGGTGCAGTAGGGGTGGGGGGCTAGAGCTAGGACACCTAGGTTCTCTTCCTGCTCTGGGGGTGAATGGGGTCTGGTGAGGTAAGGGGGAGGGTGGGCTGGGAGACGGGACACCTGGGTTCCTTCCTTGGCTATGGGAAAAGACATGAAGGAGAGATGCCTGCTGATGCCAGGCATCCAGCCCAAGTTACCAGCCACCCTCTCCCTGCAGTCATGATGCCCTGGTACTGCTCCCCGCTCCTGCTCTTGTCCCTGCTCCTGGCCCTCTCAGGTAAGCACCCCTCCCTCCATGGGGTGGTAGTGACTGGTTCTGGAGCCGGAAGCCAGGACACCTGGGTGCCATTCTCAACTTGGAATTGGGGCTGCAGAGCTTGAAGGTTTAAAGAGCAAGGGGCTGGGACCAGGGGTTCTTGGCTTTTCCCCCCAGCTCTGAGAGAAGAGAGGGGTCCGGGGATTCGAGCAGGGAGGAGCTGGCAAATTGTTACTCCTGGGTTCTCTGGACTCTAGGTTCTCCCTGGCCCTGAGAAGAGAGTGGGAGTCTCGTGCAAGAGCTGTGCTGGACTGGCAGGGGCCCATGGGGGATGCTACAGAGACCCCCCGTTGGAGAGGGCCGGAGGCAGGATCCGGGGCACGGCGGGGCTCGGGGGCTGGCTCCGTCCTGCAACTGCCTGCC